CTCAGCCTCCTGAGTATCAGGGATTTCATGCATGCCCAGCAGTCCCCGGGCAGGAGCCGTATTTTAGTGGAAACAAAGCATGCTGTGCACTGAGGCTGCTGCAGAGAGCCAGCTGGGTGCCTCCTCTTTCATGGCATCCTGAAGGGATAGAGGATCCTGGCAACAACAGCTTTCCTTTTGGTCTTGCAGAGGCCTCTGCAGAGACAGAGAGGACCTGGGTTAATTCCCCAGGCCAGGGCATGGAGGGCTGGAACTTTGGAAAGGGACGAAGGCAGTGGCGGGACTTCACACTGCTTTTGTGAGCAGAGCAGTGCTGCTCTGGCCTTGGTGGTAAAACAGCTACAAGTGGAGCATCCAGCAGCTCTTGCAGTGGGTGCTTCCTCTCAGCTTCATTAACCTTTGATGACACTGAGATGGCAAAGGGCTCTGGCACAGGAACAAGGAGGTGCAGGAATTAATAGCTCAGAAAGATCAGTAGACTTTTCCCCCAGTGACTCCTCCGTCCATGTTGTCAGGATCACAGTGAGTTGGCAGATGTTTGTGGCTTACTGCACATTTGGGTCCAGCTGTGCACATGGCCTAGGAAGTAGAGGGAACATTGTGTTCCTCACCTGCTCATCATGCTCAGATGGGTGTGTTTACGTACAGTGTGTGGGGTGTGTGTGGCCTGTGCTCGTGTGCATGTGAATTTTCTGTGAGGGTTTGTTTGACACAGCCTCATCCAGGCTAATGGGGCATATGGTTTTTTCTTAGTCAATCTCCGCCCCAGAGTAAACAATTAATGTGCCTGTCCACCCAGCTCCTCCATTCTTATTAGATGAAGTCACCATCAAAGACAGACAGAGATGCCAAGACACATTTGGGTGTTGCCTGACAGTTTAATTTCAGATATGACTCCAAGACAAATTATTTTGCTTAAGCAGCTTTCATTTATTGGTAAATCGCCTAGCTGTAGTTATAATTAGAACATTTCCCTCTACTAACATGTTCCTTTAGGGGAAAAAAATAGAATGAGAGGATCCTATAGCTATAACTAAATCCTTACTTAGGAGTGAGATGCTAGCCACCTTGGCCACCTACTCCTGGGCCTGTTACTTCTGTGCTACTTTGCTCATAAGTAAAATCTATCCATTCACTCACTCATTCATTACAGAAGCACTTTTCAAGTTTCTTTGCTAGTGTGTCTTGTATTTTGGTATTTATTGAATTACTTAGACCTTTGTTAAAAATGCAAGTGCCAAGGCAGCATAATTTTACTGAATCAGAACCTCTAAGAAGTCTACTCCAGATTTTTTTTTATGGTAGTGGGGATTGAACTCAGGGCCTTCTCACTGAGCTATATCCCCAGCCTTAAAATTTTTTTTTTTTTGAGATAGTTAAATTGCCCAGACTGGGCCTGAACCTGTACTCCTTCTGCCTTAGCCTCCCAGAGTTCTGAGTTACAGGCACGTGCCACCACACCCAGCTCGGAAGCATGATTTCTTAGTCCTTTCCCTTGTCACCCTGCCCTACAGGTGAGAAGGTCAGCTCAAGGGAAGAGAATGCATCCAAGCTGCAGTAAGGACGTGCAGGTGCCATGACAGGGAGACCTGGCTCTGCGGTTCAGGTGCTGCCCAAGCAGTTGGTGCTGCCTTCACCCTGCACCAGACTGGTCCTTGGCAAATGTCCAGTCTCAGGCAGCATTGCCTGTTGCTACCTCCAGGACCTCTTGGAATGAAGAGATACATTTTGCCTCACACTGACCTGCTGTAGTAGCCAGGACTGGATCAGGAGGGCAGAGATTGGCCGAGATTTAGCCACTTGTCAATGCTCTCTTTTCTGATAATCCAGGGATCTTGCAAGTTCCCCCTGGCAGAATGTGGAGGGGACAGCTTCACAGTAGGGGGCCTAGAAAGCTTGTTGGGCTCATAATCAGGACACATAGGGTTGGGGCTGATCCTGCCACTTATTAGCTGGGCCATTTACTTACCCTCTCTGGGCCTTATTTCCCTCACTTACTTACACAGACAAATGAAAGTAACTATGTTCAAAGTTATTTTTAGAATTACCTATAGAGTAGATGGTATATAGTAGTGGTGGCAAACCTATAGCATGCGTGGCATGGCCAGCTTTCATTACTGAAAGCTGTAAAAAATTCGCCAGCACTGGTACATAGATATAACACATACACAAAACATATATAGTACATAATATAGGGTACGTAAACTACTGAGCACTGTGCCTGGCATGAGGCCAGTGCTCACAAATGGTATTTTAAAATTAATAACAAAAATAAGGGACCCCCATTTGTGTGCCCAGAGGTGGTTCCTCCTCAGGCCACCAAAGCCAGCCTGTATCGGAGGTTGCTCTCCACTGTTTGCTCCATCTCAGCTCCCCGAGCTCTGTGGCACTGCTGTGGACCTGCTGGCCTGAGCCTTGGGGCAGTGATTCTCAGCCTGGACCCATTCTTTCCAATGCAGGTTGACTTCATGCAAGTCGGCAGGTAATTGGGGTGCCAGGAAAGAGTGCATGCCCATCTCCACAGCCTCACTGAGACAGACTGCTTCCGCTAGGGTCTTCAGAAGAGTGCACACCCGTATCTCCTGGAGGGGTTTGTTAGAATCCACCAGCTGTGTCCCACTTTGGACTTGAGTCATAATCTCTGGTGGGGCACTGGTAAGTGGATTATCTTCCCAGGCAGGGCTGGTATACAGGTCTGGTACTGTCCTTGTGGATGTCTCTGCTCGGCTCTGGCTCACTCAGCTAGCACAGCATGAACCCTTCTAGCAAAGATTAATGGTGTCTGTGTAGATTTTCAAAGCTCAGAGATACCAACTCTGTGACAGACTACGGAGGCAGAGCCCTTGGTGATAAGGAAGCTCTGACAGGAGGACGAGCTCTGTATGGAGCAGAGGCTCTGTAGAGAACCCTGGACAGGACGCATAGCACAGTAACAAAAGGGTGCTCCAGTTCTTATTAACATTCGTGCCACTGCACTGGGCCCAGGGTCCCTAGCTCCTTGAGAGGCGTGTTTCCAGATTAAGAGAAAAGATTCCAAATCCAGGAATGAAGAAACCAATTGGCTGCTTGGGAGCAGTCAGGAAATGTGACAAGAGGTGTCATACACAAACCAGCAGCAAAATTCCAAGAAGGGAAGCACTGCAGACTTTGCTTTTATTTTCCCCTTTGCTTCTGAAATGAAAATAGGAAGGCGATCAGTGCTGGAAGTTAGTGTAGACATGGGAAGTGATAGTGACTAAGATGTACTTTTTTTTTTTTTTTTTGAGACAGGGTCTTGCTATGTCATTCAGGCTGGCCTCTAACTTGAGGCAATCCTCCTGCCTCAGCCTACCAAATGCTGGGATTATAGGTGTGCGCCACCACACCTGGCTTCAGTCCCTCCTTCTGAGAACATGGTGAACCCTAAATGGCCACAAGCTTCAACTTTTGTCTCTCTTAACATTTGTACCTGAAGTATGGAGCTTCTGGTGCTGGGCAGAATTGAGTGTTGTCACATTTCCAAATGATCCCACTGGTAATGTCCCTGCCTCTGCTACAACACTCAAAGCGGAGAGCGGAGTAGAAGGTGTGAAATGATGGACACGACAGAGGGAGGAAATTCTGCCTTTTCAGCTTTCTTGAGACTGTCTAGAAAGAGGGATTAGAAAAGTTCCTTGGGACAGAGTGGAGAAGGTAAAGAATGAGAGGTTTTAAAGACACTGGTGCCAAACGAGGTATCTGTGAAGTACAGTGGACCCTTGATTTACAAATTCAATTGGTCCCTGAGGGCTGGTTGTAACTCAAGTTGGTTGTAATCAATACAGCTGAGATCTGGATGTTTACCTGGGTACACGCTATACATAACAAGAGGCAGATGAATCATCCATTAACTTAATTAACCCAATTGTTTGTATGGCAGGCCGGTGGTAAACTGAGGGTCCACTGAACTTTGAAAGGCATAAACTTCCCGACCATCTGCATCAAGAGCAGCAGCATCGATAACAATCACGAGGGGGCAACAGGCCTGGCTGGAGTTGAAGGTGGCCACGAGGTTATTCATGTAGTCCTCAGCCCCGGCAGACTTCAGCATGCACCTCGCTGCCCAGAGAGGCGGTCTGTTCAGTCTTTGGCACCCGGCTTAGATGACGACATAAGGCGTTTGGGTTTAGCGGTTCCTTAAATAACACAACTTTTCTTTAGGTCTAATGTCTCTCCTGTTGACATTTCCTAACCTCCTGGGCTTTCTCCTTAAACTACCTGCTGCTCGTCTGAGAAGTGCAGATGTACAGTGCAAGCGTGCCCTCGTGATGGTTGAAAATCTATCACGGGATATCTAGCATGCAAGGAAAAACTTGCTATTCCTACCTCCATTTCGTATCAAAGAGAATATTCTCTTCCTTGGGCACCTCCCCTTACTGAAGAAGGGGTGTGCATATGAGTGGAGGTGGGCTTAGTTTAGAGTTTAACTTTGTAAAAAATATTTTAATTGTACAAATTTTATACAGTGCTTAACGATCAAATCAGGGCAGTTAACATTTCCACTTACCATTACTTTGTGTTTGGAGCCTTGGAGCTCCTTCTGGGAGGCATTCATAGGATGTTTGTGGCTCCACAAAGACACAGCGCTTCCCAGGAGTTCAGAGCTGGGCAACTGGACACACGGGTCCACGGCCGTGGGTCCAGGGTGGGATGCCAGGCCTGGTCTGCCAGCCCTTCCTTCCTGATGTGATTTTATCAGAGTTCCACTCCCTCTGGAGGTGGAGTACCTGTTTGGGAATACTTCTGCAACATGACAAAGTACAATTTAAAATCTGGGCTCTCCTTCCCTGAGCTTAGACCCAAGCTCTCCCGAAACAGGAAAGTGTAGGCAGAGGACCACAAACTGGAAGAGGTGCCCGCCCCAGCGGGTGGCTTCCCGGCCGTGACGATGAGCGGCCAGCAGGTGTCAGTGCGCCCTCGTTCTGGCGGCTCTGGGCTTGGGCTTCCAGGACCCCTCCCCACCGCAGTCTTGGGGGTGGGGTATGCGCCGGCTGGACCTCCGACCTCGGAGTAAGGCTGAGCGCCCCCGGGCTGGAGGACAAGCGGTCGCTCCTTCCCCAAGCAGAAGTCTGAACTTCGGTCAGACTCACTCCCTTGTGGGTGCTGCGCACTCCACCCTAGGAGTTCCCCCGGAACTCGCACCTTCCTCCTCCTCCAGGACTACGGCCCGGGCGGAGGCTCGGCTGCTCCGGATGCGACCCCCTACCGGAAGCTGCTTCTCGGGACCCGGGGTGGGGGTCCCCAGCTCCCCGCCCTCCCCGGACTCGGCTGGGGTACAGCCCTGGTGCCCGCGGAGGCAGGAGCTGCACGGCCAACTCCCAGCACGGGCCGCACCCCACACCCAGGTTCTCTCTGTAATCCCCTTCCTCCAGGTGCCTGCCTCTCCAGAAGGCCCGTCCAGCCTGCGGCAGCCTTCCCTGGGGTCCGGCGTTGGGCACGGGCGCCGGACCCGCCGAGGGGAGGCGCGAGGGGCGGAGGAGGGTCGGCTTCCCACGTGGGGGCTGACGCCGGCTGCTCGGCAACGCCAGCTCGATCCTGGGGCTATAAAACGAGTCCACCGTAGCGCCGCGGAGCAGCCGCGGCTCCGGCTCAGCAGCCCAGCAGCCGGCGCGCCGCCGCCTGGCCCCTTTTTCCCCGCTCCTGCACCCCTGCTCCAACTCACGCTGCCCTCCGACCCCGGGCCGCCCTGCTGCACTTGGCGCCCCCCGAACCGACGCCTAGAAGACACTGCCTCGGCCGTGGCTCCGGGAGGCCCGACCGCTCCCCTGGCCCGGCCCGGCCCGCTTGAGGTCGGGGCGCCTTCATGCGGCCCTACACTCCTCACCCCGCCGCCTCTGCCGAGCTCCGCGCGCTGCGCCCCGGGCCCAGCAGGGCGCGCAACTTTGGAAGTCCCGTGGCGCTCCGCTCCGAGAGGCGGCCCCAGGTCGGGCCCAGCTCGCCCCGCCGCGTCTGGGGGAAGCGAGAGTCCGGAGCGGCTTCAGGGATATGAGGAGGCAGACTTAGGGCTCCGAGCCCGCATCCGCTCCCCTCGGCTGCCTCCGGGTTGGGGGCCGGCCCCCGCGCACGGTAAGATCTCTTGCTTTGCTCGGGCTCGAGTCAGGACTGTGTGTGAATGATACTGATGTTATACGCGGTGTTAGATACAGTATATGTGTAATTTCCTGCCATCCTTCCAAATCACCAGGTCACCAGAGATTTTTGTTCTCTTTTCTTGAATAAATCTCTAACCATCAGCTTGCCCTACTCTTTCCTGCCGCTTAGAGATAAAACTTGGCCGTGTGGAGGAGCTCGGAGCGAGGACCCCCTCCCACGTCTGCAGCACCGGCGGCCGCGACTCGCGGGGCCAGGCCCATGGGTCACTAGCCGCCCCTCGCTCGGGCCCGGCCTCCAGCGACTCCTTCCCTATGCGCGGCGCGGCGGGGTGAACGGGCGCCGGAGGACGAGGAGGACCCACGGGCGCCGGGCGGGGACGCGGAGGGCAGCAGGCCCCGGCGGGCGGGCGAGCGGCGCCGCGTTCATGTTCCGCCAGGAGCAGCCGCTGGCCGAGGGCGGCTCCGCGCCCATGGGCTCCCTCCAGCCGGACGCCGGCAACGCGAGCTGGAACGGGACCGAGGCGCCGGGAGGCGGCTCCCGGGCCACCCCCTACTCCCTGCAGGTGACGCTGGCGCTGGTGTGCCTGGCCGGCTTGCTCATGCTGCTCACCGTGTTCGGCAACGTGCTGGTCGTCATCGCCGTGTTCACCAGCCGCGCGCTCAGGGCGCCGCAGAACCTCTTCCTGGTGTCGCTGGCCTCGGCGGACATTCTGGTGGCCACGCTCGTCATCCCCTTCTCCCTGGCCAACGAGGTCATGGGCTTCTGGTACTTCGGCAAGGCGTGGTGCGAGATCTACCTGGCGCTCGACGTGTTCTTCTGCACGTCGTCCATCGTGCACCTGTGCGCCATCAGCCTGGACCGCTACTGGTCCATCACGCAGGCCATCGAGTACAACCTGAAGCGCACCCCGCGCCGCATCAAGGCCATCATCGTCACCGTGTGGGTCATCTCGGCCGTCATCTCCTTCCCGCCGCTCATCTCCTTCGAGAAGGCTGGCGGCGGCGGGCAGCAGCCGGCAGAGCAGCGCTGTGAAATCAACGACCAGAAGTGGTACGTCATCTCGTCGTGCATCGGCTCCTTCTTCGCGCCCTGCCTCATCATGATCTTGGTCTACGTGCGCATCTACCAGATCGCCAAGCGCCGCACTCGCGTGCCGCCCAGCCGCCGGGGTCCGGACGCCCACGCCGCCGCGCCGCCTGGGGGCGCCGAGCGCAGGCCCAATGGGCTGGGCCCGGAGCGCGGCGCCGGCCCGGGGGGCGCCGAGGCCGAGCCGCTGCCCACGCAGGTCAACGGCGCGCCCGGGGAGCCCGCGCCAGCCGGGCCGCGAGACGCCGACGCTCTGGACCTGGAGGAGAGCTCGTCGTCGGAGCAGGCCGAGCGGCCCCCAGGGGCCCGCAGACCCGAGCGCGGCCTCCGAGCCAAGGGCAAGGCGCGCGCCAGCCAGGTGAAGCCCGGCGACAGCCTGCCCCGCCGCGCACCGGGGGCCACCGGGCCCGGGACCGCGGGGCCCGGGGAGGAGCGCGGCGGGGGCGCCAAGGCGTCGCGCTGGCGCGGGCGGCAGAACCGCGAGAAGCGCTTCACGTTCGTGCTGGCCGTGGTCATCGGGGTGTTCGTGGTGTGCTGGTTCCCCTTCTTCTTCACCTACACGCTCACGGCTGTTGGCTGCTCGGTGCCGCGCACGCTCTTCAAGTTCTTCTTCTGGTTTGGCTACTGCAACAGCTCCCTGAACCCGGTCATCTACACCATTTTCAACCACGACTTCCGCCGCGCCTTCAAGAAGATCCTGTGCCGGGGGGACAGAAAGCGGGTCGTGTGACCGCAGGCCCCCCGCAGCGGACTGTGGCCTGGGGCGTGGAGGGCGCGTCCGCTGTAGCCTAGGACCTGCCCACCCGCCCGCTCCGTGCTTCCCGGCCTGGAGGGTGCTCTGCGGGGCATCTGCTGTTGTACTGGGGCGAAGTTCTGGCTGGGAGGGCCACCCCCACTCTTGTTAGGGCTGCTCCTGACCCAGAGGGGTTTCCTGTTGGGCCGCCCCTAATCAGTATTGTTTTCCAAGGGTATTTGCCCTCTTCCCCCAGCCCAGCTCGCCCAGCTGTTCAGAGCAGAGGACTCCAGAGGGCGTGGCTCACACAGGGTAAATGGGAAGGGGATCCCCCACCCTGGCTCACTGCTCCTTTCCAGCCCTGAACTCTCTAATTCTAAAATACACACTCAGGGCAGCTCCTGCCCGCCCTCCCCAAACACACTATTTTTGATAGCAAACCTGGGGGTCCCCAGTGTCGTGGGGCCTCGGGTGTGATGTTGGGATCCTGGCTGTGGGGTGCCCTTCAGGCAGGCCCAGCGTCTTTTCCAGGCCAAGCCCCTTTGCAGTGCAAGCCCTTTTCTGGTGGTGTTTTGTCTCTCTGTGTCCTTTTCACCAGCAACTGGTGACTGTCCCTTGGACGGGACCTGCTTTGAGATTTCCTGGCAGAGAAAAGATTTCTGTCCTTTCCCCCCTGTGCCTGACAGCATAATTGCCTTTTCCTATGTAAATATTACAGTGATGGACCAAGACAGAAGTAAATGAACTTTTCTGCTTTGCATCAGCCCTGTGTATAAAGCCATTATCCTCTGAGGCCCCGTTTGCCCCAGTAACTCACTTTAAAGCGCACTTTCCGGTGGCCTCGCCTCCCTCTGGGGCTGTGCTTGAAGAATCTGTAAGTTTCTATCTCTGATGTGTGTGCACCCCGCCTCCCCAAGCGCTGACGGAGGGGAAATCTTTTAGCTGCTGTTTTTAGACACAGAGGCCTGGAAATTATGTGCAAGAAGCAAACCCGATACAATTTGCCCAAGGTAAACAATTTGAAAACACAAATGGGCCTGCCGGACTGTACAGTTCCTGCCCCTAGAGCTCTTAGGTATCAAAGTGTTGTCCTTCCCCGGCTTCTTGGGGATCCTGTCACTGATGAACTGCCAAGTCGGGAGGAGGCAGAGCCCTCGTGTTTACAGCCCGGGTTCTGCATGTTTCAGACGGGGACAGTTGAAGGCCTGCGCTCTTCTTCACTAAAGACAAACTAATGTCAGCACATGTTGCTAATGACAGTGGATTTTTAAAAATAAGTTTACAGATCAAATGTGAAATAAATACGAATTAAGTGTTCCTCCTGTCTGTTATCTGAGTTTTCAAAAGCTTTAGTACTGGGAACATCTGATTATGCGTACATTACAAAATACCTTTAAATGCACAACCAATAACAAAGCTATTATTTACCAGTGTTCCTGATGGGCCAGCCACTCCTTGTTTAATCTTCCCAAGAACCCCAGGAGGTAAATTCTGTATTGGCCCCAACTGGCAAGTGAAGAAACTGCTTCTCACAGAGCTTTGGCGATGTGCTCCAGGTTTACCAGATGTGGCAATGCATTGTACACAGCTCTGTGCTGGTGCAGGGTCTGTGGTCTTAAACCCTGAGGCTTTCTGGAGTCACAGTGTTAACGCTGCTCAGAAGCTGCCCTGAGATCCCTGTGTGCTCGGAGTGGCTGTATTCCAAGGGTGTGGACACACTGTGTGTGACGCCCCAAGGTGTCTGTGTGTCCCAATCCTATATATATACCTCAATGAACTATCTACCCGAAAGTGCAGTATGTGTGTAGGAAACTACAATATGTTCCAGGGTGTGTGTCACGCCTGCACGTGTGGTTATATCCCCTACAACATGATATAAACACCAGTGTATTAGTTGATGGCTCAAATTGTCTCTGGCCAAAGCCACGCCCCCTTCTGTTTCCCTCTTCATAAAGTCAGTCAGCCCTGCTGCCTTTTTGGATGGAAGAGCCTCACACTGTGGTTGTGGCACTGTGGAGCTGGAAGCATCTCAGAGCTCCAGGAATCCTGCCCCTCATCTGATGGAGGAGGAGGTGGTGGAGAGGAATTGGCTTTCGGAGGATCCCACAGTCCTGGGTGACACTGCCAGTGTGGAGGATGAAGAGCTGGTGAAGAGCCACTTGTCAAGCAGCTGGGTTTGCGGGCAAACACAAAGGACAGGTGGTTCTGGGAGGCCAGACTTCGGAAGCCCAGCTATCCATGACGTGCGTGCAGGTCAGCTGTCCCTCTGCACTCGGGGCGCCCATGCCCCAGAATGCCAAGTAATAGGCCGGCCTGGCAGGCCTCCAGGACTTGGGCTGTGTGTCCCAGCCACCAGGGCAGATGAAAACAGCCTTGTTGACTCTCTGTTCTGCCCTGTCTGCTGGGAAGTGTTTGCCTGGCACTCACCCGCAGAGGCCACCACCTGGGAAAGAGGGAAGGGTGGGCATTGGAGCCACCTGAGGGGGCCTCTCCCTCTTGGCCCGTAGAAGCCTGGAGGAAGTGGGGGAGTGGGCGCTGGGGCCCGGGTGTGATGCTGGGTTTCAGAGTTTGCAGTGAAAGCCATTGTTCTAAGGGCCCAAGCAGCAGTCTGCAGAGGGGAGTGGGATGGAGGAGGAGTGGCTCCCAGGGGAATCTGAGCACAAAGAGCAGGAGATGAGACACCAGCCCATGGCCTGCCATCCATACTACCTGGTCCCCATTCCCCAGGCCAAAGAGCTCTCTGTCTGTGGCTGAGCTTCCTACGTCTGGTAGCTTTGGCTGGAGGATGGAAGCCATCGGCTGGCCTTTGGGTCTGCAGTGTGCCTCGACACGTTCACTTCTGAGAGCACATCAGGTTTGGGAAGGGCAGAGCCCTTATTTCAGCCTGGGTGTAAGAGACAGCCCTGCCCCTCAAGGCTTTGTTCAGCTGCTTCTATGCTGGAGGGGAGTGAGGAAGATGAAAATGAGCCTTAGGCTTCCCCTCCTCCTGATTCTATAATTGAATCCAAGCCTGAGGTTGAGGTTGCCTCAGCCACCATAAGCTCCGATGAGGGACATGACAACCCAAAGAGCTGTCAGGTTCTGTCCCATCCCAGGGTCACTCAGACTCTTCCCCCAGGGCTCTCTGTCTGATGCCATGTGTCCTCACCGTAACTGCTCTGCTGTTGGATGAGGCGAGCTGCTCACAAGCCCCATATAGGATCCCTCTGAGCCTGCTCCATGCAGAGCACTGTGCCGGGCACTGTGAGGCAGGCTCTTCCATTCAGACCATGCACAGCCCACCTCTGCTGCCTGTGGGGGTTGGCAGAGCCTGGGGCCTGCTCGGCCCTCTAGAAACCTGAGCTTTGCACGAGGAGACAGGATGAGCCCGGGCCACGCATTAGCCAGGCAACAGTGACGGGAGGAAGTGGATGCCCTCTGAAGGCCATGGGTGCCCTGGCAGTATGCAGTGGGGAGGAGGTGACTGTGGCAGGGCTGGAGTGGCCACCTGGTCTGGGGTCGTAGGGCAGGGAAGGCAGCTCAGCGAGTCCTGCGTGACCAGTCCATCCGAGCCTTCCTCAGTTTTCAGTTTTCCAACCTAATCCTTGCAGGTGGCATGACAGGTCTCATCCCCATCTGGGACACCAGTTGGGAGCGTTCCTCCCCAGCTCCAGTAGCACAGGTGGATCCGAGTTCCCAGATCCAGTGTCAGGCTTGTTGTCTCCCTGGGCCCTGCCACCTCTGAAGCGCACTTCAAGTCTGATGTGGAGGGCAGGGCACCCACGTCCGCAGGGTGGGGAGTCAGGGGAAGTTCCCGAGTGCAGTCCAAACACCATGGTTGTTTGGATCCAGCACAGATCTCTTTGATCCCTAGAAATCCTAGGGTTTAGAGTTGAATACAAAAAAGGGAACAGGGTCTTTTGGAAAGAGCCTGCATCAGGGCATTAGGAGGCTGGAGTCTAATCCCAGTTTTGCCAGCTGTGTGACCTTGAGCAACTTCATTTGTCAAATAAAAGTAGTGGGTCTAGCGTTACTTAGAAATGTGTCCCATGGAGTTAATTACAGACTCTAGCATCCATCTATCTATCCATCCATAACCTACTTATCATCTATTATTTATCCTTATTCTGGTAAGAGGTGTCTTTTCTTCAGGATTCACAGAGACTTTAATATGCCAGTGTGGTTTGTGATTCTTCAAGTGTGTATGACATGGTATGCTTTGCTCCCAACTCCCTGGACTATGGAATTTCATTTTTTATAAGCATCTCAGTGAATCATGTTTACTGGAACACTTGTTGGGAAATCTTGGGTTAAAGAATCTCATGGGGCTTTTTTGTTGATCTATTTTAAGATTCTATTAAACACAGAATCTGCTGTTTCCTCTGTCTTTGCCGTAGGTGATGCATGGACGTGGGCCAAACTGTATATTCTCTTTGGGGACAGCTGGCACTAAGGGCCACTGGCTTCACTGAGGCCTGGGGTCGAAGTGAGAGGGTGGCAAGCTAAGCCTTTTGTATGCGCATGCTCATGCAAGTGTGGGTGGATGTGTGTGGGGAAATCTGTGTATGTGTGCATGTGTGTGAATGTGCATGTGTGTGCCTTGTGTACACTGGCACACCTGTTAAAATGGACACTGAAGACCCTTGCTCACCTGGACCTGGAATGAAGGCATCTCGGGGAGTCAGGGTGGGTGTGCATTGGGACCAAAGGGCCGTTCAAGGGAAACTCCTTGGAGCACCAAGGGAGAGGGTAAGCTGCGTGAAAGGCGCCTGGCACCACTGCTTGGATGACCCCACAGTCACTGCAGCCTGAGTCTGGGCAGGGAGAGAACCAGGGAACCACGGTCACCACTGTCAGTCTCAACCTGCATTGCCTGGTGTCCGTCCTCAGCTGGGACTCAGCACAAAGGCGAGTAAGGCAGCAGCTCCTTGGCTCAGCCTTCCCGACAATATGCAGGTCAGGGAACGGGGCAACCAGAGAATAGCCCGTGGAGGGCCCAAAGCCTGGGAAAGGCAGGGCGAAGGGGTCAGGGTAGGGGAGCCAGCTGACCAATTCCTGTAGCCTGTCCAAGGGCCAGCCTGTGGGACACTGGGAAGCGAAGAGGGAAAACACGGGCCCTCCTTCCTCTTCTGACTATGGACATGGGGTCGGTGTTGGGGTTATGAGTACGGCCGGACCTGTGTGCGTGCATGGGCACGCACGCACGCACAGGCACACAGCTTTCCCATCTTCCTTGCCACCTGGTGAGCCAGGTGAGAGTGAGCCCCAGAGAACCCCAGTTTCTGGGCTATCCTTACCCCTTGTCTGTGGCTCAGGCTGAGCTTGGGGGATCAGGAAGCAGACTGAGCTGACCGAGGCTGGGGGCCAGGTCCGTGTCCTCACCTGTCCTTTGCATACACTAGGAATTCTGCTGCTCCTTCCTCGGCATTTCCAGGTCCTCCGCAGCCTTCTTCTTAGTACACTCCCTGGACACACTTTAAGGATTGTTTCTTATTCTGTAGCCCTGGAGGAGGCACTAGGACATGTAATGAATGAATGGTGGATCCACATCTTTACTCCTGCACTCATCTGAAACCAGTTTTTGATGCTATGTCTAAATTAACACCACTAATACCACTCCATTGGTACCAGGAGTCAGCTTATTTCACGAGGGAGCCGAACGGTAAATGGGCACCAGGAGTGGCAAGCCTAGTGATGTGGGGAGGGCAGCAGGGCTCCCTGTGGGACATGGGCTGAGCTGAGAGACAGCAGGAATGCGACAGGCAAAAGGACAAGGTGGCATGGAGTATGGAGGTGGGAGGGGCAGCGCTGTACGTTTGAGCAACTTGAGGAAGCGCCTCGTGCAGGGCCAGGTGGTATGCCCAAATCACACGGCTGCTCAGAAAGGAATTTATCTCGAGGCCAGTGGGGAGCCACTGAGGGAGGGGCAGGATCGGATTCTTGTTTGGAACAATCTTTGTGGGCGCTGGGTGGAGGGGTAGAATGTGTTGGCAGCAGTCACTTGGCTTAGATACTGCCAGCTGCTTAATGACCCGACTCAGGGCCTCCTGACTCTCAAGGAAGCCAGGGCCCTTCTTCCCCACCGTGTTCCCCGGTGGCAGTGCCCATCTCTTTACCGACCCAGATGCTAGAATTTCAGAGCTGTCCCTCCTTGTCTAATACCATGTAACCTGCCCTGCCTGCCCTTGGGAATATCCATTCCTGCAGGGTGGCTCCTGGGCTCAGCTTCCTGTTTGTGGTTGGGTGCAAACATCCTCTTGAGAGTAACTTCACTCTGCCCCATGGTGTGTGATGCTGACCGGACACATCTCCCTCACTTCCCATTCCCCACCTCGTTG